GGTAAGTTAATTATTATTTAATTTTAAATTATTTAATATTTAAATTATTTAATTTTAAATTATTTAATATTTAAATTATTTAATTTTAAATTATTTAACATTTAAATTATTTAATTTTAAATTATTTAATATTTAAATTATTTAATTTTAAAATTTATAAATTATTTAGATATTGGTATTCAAAAAAATAAATTTTTAAGAATTGCAACTTTAGCAGCTAATATATGACAACAAATGATAAAAATTCCAGAAATTGCAAGTCAATTAAAAAAATATAAACATTCTAAACAACAATCAGGAGATATACTTATTGGTCAATTTAGAGAATTTTATTTATATAAGGATCCATATAATGAATCTTTTTCATCAAATATTGATACAGCTTTAAGTTGGTGGAAAATATGTACAACAACACCACCATATTTACAATTACTTGGAGTTAAACTTTTTTCAATTACTCCACATGCAGCAAGTTGTGAAAGAATTTAGTCTATTTGTGGATGGATGACAGGAAAAAGAAGAATAAATTTATTAGTTAAAAATCTTGAATCATTAGTTAAAATACATTTTTATTATATTACTAATAAAACAACTGAATTAAATTTATATAGCCAAGAACATACAGTTGAAGAAATTTATCAAGAATTATATAATGCACAAATTGAAGAAGAAGAGGAAGAAGAAAATAAAGATGAAATTGAAAATCAATTAAACATTAATTTAGATGAATATAATGAATATGATTTAGATGATGAACAAGGAACTACATAGGAAAATTTAAATTTATTAGAAATAATTGATTTGGAAATGGATACTTTTAAAGATACTGATGATAATCAAATAATAGAAAATTCAGATAATGAAAATGAATTAAATGATTTTATTCAAAATTTAGAAAGTAAAAAAGATTATAATCCAAGTGAAATAGCACAAATACATTTTGAAGATATTGATGAAATTTATTATTATTAAAAATTAAATAGTTAAATTTTTAATATTATTTAACTTTATATTATTTATATATGAATTTTTTCTTTAAATAATTAAAGTTTTTTTTATTTATATATATATAATATAAAATATTTATTTATATTATATTTTTATTATTATTATTTTATTTGTATAACTATATTTTTATCAAATATTTCATAAAATAAATTTAATTTATATATTATAATTTTAAAATTTTCAAATTATATTTTTAAAATTTCACATTATAGTTTCGGATTTCGGATTATAGTTTCAGGTTTCGGATTATAGTTTCGGGGTTTCGGGTTTCGGGGTTTCAGTTTTTTTTTTAAAAATCCGAAACTAGTTTCAGATTAGTACTTTCTGAAACTAGTTTCGGGTAGGTTTCGTTTCGAGTACCAACTTTAGTATGTGTAGTCAACAGATCGAAAAGATGGCTAAGCAGGGGTAAGCTCTTCGGGGCCAGGCTATCACGAGTCCAATGCAGCAAGGAATGGGAACATGTGAAAGCAATACTGTGTCATATGGAAGCCAAATGCAGGTAGGCATGATGTTAAATCACCTTCCAATAATGGTAA